TGTACCCAGATAATCTCTGATGTGGCATTGGCCACAGCCTTATACTCAGCCTCAGTACTGCTACGCGAGACAGTAGCCTGTTTCCGAGCACTCCAGGCAATCAGGTTAGAGCCAAAGAAGACAACATAACCTCCCGTGGATCGCCTGTCATCCGGATTGCCAGCCCAGTCTGCATCAGAATATGCTGAAAGACAACCAGAGTCAGACGGCCGAATATGCAAACCATGAGCCACCGTGAAACGAATATAGCGCAAAATCCGCTTAACAGCAGACCAATGAGTGTCACGGGGTGACTGCAGATACTGGCAGACTCGGTTAACAGCATAGGAAATGTCTGGTCGCGTGATCGTCAAGTACTGGAGCCCACCAACAATACTCCGGTACTCGGTCGCATCAGAAGAAGAAAGAAGCACACCATCAACAGCATTGAGCTTATCAGTGGTAGACATGGGTGTAGTCGTCGGTTTGCACTTAAGCATCCCAGCTCGCTGCAACAAATCCAGAGAGTACTTCTTCTGCGTCATAACAAGGCCAGCAGCACGAGAAGTAACCTCCACACCAAGAAAGTAATGAAGCTTCCTAAGGTCCTTGACCGCAAAATCAGCACCAAGTGAGCGAACAAGCGCAGTAGCAGCCGACTGAGAGGAGCTGACCAAAATGATATCATCTACATAGACCAACAAGTACATAGTAACCTCAGGCCTTTGAAGAAGAAACAATGAGGAGTCAGCAGTTGATGATGCAAAACCATGAGCACGAAGAGCCATTGCAAGACGAGCATGCCAAGCACGAGGAGCCTGCTTCAGACCATAAATTGCCTTGGACAGACGACAGAGATGATCAGGGCGATCCGGATCAGAGAAACCCGGAGGCTGGCGCATGTAAACCTCCTCCTCCAAGACACCATGAAGAAAAGCATTTTGAACATCAAGCTGACGAAGAAACCAACCTCGAGTAACAGCCAGAGAGAGAAGAAGTCTGATGGTAGTAGGCTTGACCACTGGACTGAAGGTGTCTTCATAGTCAAGTCCAAAACGCTGTCGAAAACCACGAGCAACCAGACGAGCCTTATAGCGCTCAATGGACCCATCAGAATGCCTCTTCACTTTGAAAACCCATTTGGAATCAATGACATTTACCCGTGATTGTGGAGGAACAAGAGTCCATGTCTGATTGCGAAGAAGCGCTTGATACTCCTGCTCCATGGCCTCTCTCCAATGAGGAATGCGCATAGCAGCTTGATACGTGCGTGGCTCAGAGGATGGATCTGCGAGAGCAGCAGACATGCACGCCGCTAACCAAGCAACTGTGCCATCGTGACGTTGCTTAGGCTGAAAAATGCCACTCCGACTGCGCGTATGTGGACGTAGAGCAGCAGCAGGAGCCGGCGAAGGTGACGGAGACGTGACGGTCGCCGGAGATGCAGGAATCACCTCAGGCGAGCTCGGGACAGACGACTCCGGGCTGCATGGCGAAGACTGGCCCGACGACAGGGGCTCAGAGGCCATGGGCGAACCGAGGGTGGGCGAGGCCAGCTCCGGTGACACCGGCCCAGACGGCCTTGGCGAGGCGAGAGCAGGCGAGGCCGGCCCTGGTGAGAAGGGCCCAGACACCCTGGGCGAGGCAGGGGCGGGCGAGGCCAGGCCTGGTGATGACTGCCCCGACGCCCTGGGCGAGACGGGGACCGAGGAGGCCGGCCCAGTCGGCGGGGTTGCAGGGCGCGACGATGGCGAAGGCAGCCCAGAAGCCAGAGGCGACCGGGCCAGGACGTCGATCGGTTGTGCATGAGCACGGAAACCGAGGCCATGCAGGGGCGCCATGTGCTCCTCATGCACAACAGAAGGTGCCGAGGATGAAGGCGATGGCGACGAAGAGGAAGATGGCGCTTCCAGAATCTCCAAACGAGCCCCACGACCAGTGGCTGCACCATGGTTAGACAACAATAGAGGAGAATATGCAACATCATCAAATTGGTCAGAAGCAACAGAGGATGAATGCATGACAGGTGGCTCGGTAGTGGACACAGGGAGGTTGGCAAAGGGAAAAACATGCTCATCAAACACAACATCCCGAGAGATGTAGACACGATTAGTGGGAACATGAAGACATTTGTATCCTTTATGAAGAGAGCTATAACCAAGAAAAACACACTTCTTGGAACGAAACTCGAGCTTACGCTTGTTATATGGACGGAGATGGGGCCAGCAAGCACACCCAAACACCTTGAGAAAGGTGTAGTCTGGTTGTTCATTAAGGAGAACTTCAATGGGAGTCTTCATATTCAAAACACGAGTGGGAGTACGATTGATGAGAAAACATGCAGTGGTGAAAGCATCACTCCAAAAACGAAACGGAACAGATGCATGGGCCAAAAGAGTCAGACCAGCTTCAACAATGTGACGATGCTTACGTTCTACTGAACCATTCTGCTGATGTGTATGTGGACATGCTAAACGGTGAGTGATCCCAAGCGACTGAAAGAAGGAGTTGAGGTTGAGATACTCGCCACCCCAGTCCGACTGAACATGAACAATTTTGTGCTTGAGAAGGCGTTCAACATATTTTTGGAACTGAACAAAAATATCAAACACATCAGATTTACGTTTGATAAGATAAAGCCAGGTAAAGCGGCTGTAAGCATCAACAAAACTGATATAATAATTATGACCACTAACAGAAGTCTGAGCAGGACCCCATACATCTGAAAACACAAGTTCTAAAGGATGTTTCACCTCACGACTGGACTCCGAAAAAGGAAGTTGATGACTCTTCCCCTGCTGACAAGCATCACACACTGCTACATCTTTATTACTAGACACACTAGGAAGCTCATGACGACGCAAAATATGCCGGACAATAGGTGTGGCCGGGTGACCAAGACGAGCATGCCACTGTGACGGAGATACCCGAACTCCACTGAAGACGCGAGCGACGCCAGGATGCTCCAGACGATAAAGACCTTGGCAGAGCCGCCCACTAAGAAGAATGTCCCTCGTGCCCCGATCCTTAATAAAAAGATCAAAAGGATGAAATTCACAAAGCACATTATTATCACGAGTGAGTTTAGGAACTAAAAGAAGATTACGTGTCACAGATGGAACTCGAAGAACATTGCGAAGTTGAAGACTCCTATTGGCATGTCTAGTGAGAAGTGATGCTTGACCAATATGAGAGATGCACATACCTGCTCCATTGGCGGTGTGGATCTTGTCGGAGCCATGGTAGGGTTCACGAGTGTGAAGCTTCCCCATCTCACTGGTCAGGTGCTCTGTCGCTCCAGAGTCCATGTACCAGTGGGGATCAATGGAGTAGGACTGAGTGTGTCCCTGTGGCTTCTGCGGCGGCGGACGATCAGCCATGGCGACCTGACGAGCAAAGTTGCGTGTATCCTTCCCGTCATTGCCAAGACCAAGAAAACCCCGCTGGAAGCGCTTGTGACACTTCGAGGCCCAGTGCCCATCGCGACCACAAAGCTGGCACACACGTGGACCGCCAGCCCCTGGTAGCGTCGCAGTAGGAGGAGGGGCCGAGGCGGGTGGTGGTGACTGCCCCGAAGGAGCCCTGGATGAAGCAGAGGAGCGACCACCCTTGGTGGCGGCGTTTGCCGAGAGGGCACCGTTGCCCCTGGATCGGCGCGTCTCGACTCGTTGCTCAGTAAGCAGGAGGCGTGAAAAGACCTCGTGTGCTGGCATGGGCGTGGAGTTGCCCCTCTCATTGATGATCTCGACTAGGGCGTCATACTCCTCATCAAGACCATTGACGATAAACGAGTTGAACTCGGAGTCGGTGAGGGGCTGTCCAATGGAGGCCAGCGTGTCGGCGAGACTCTTGACTTTGTTGTAGAACTCAGTGGCGGTGGAGTCAAACTTCTGACACTCCCCAAGTTGGCGACGGAGCCCAGATACACGAGCCTGCGACTGTGCCGCAAACGAGCGCTCAAGAATAGTCCATGCCTCGTGGGACGTCTTGGCGAAGACAACAAGCCCAGCAACGGCCGGAGAGAGCGACCCCTGGATGGAGGAGAGGTTCGCCTGATCCTGCCCTGTTCAGACACGGTGAGCCGGATTATAGACCGGACCATGCACGCTGTCAACCAGCGCAGGAGGGCAAGGGAGAGAGCCGTCGACATAGCCAAGCAGGTAGTGACTCCCAAGAAGCGGAAGAACCTGCGCGCGCCAGAAGATGTAATTGTCCGACGACAACTTGATGGTGATGAGATGGCCGAAGTGAAACGGCGGCGGCGGCTGCGATCCCATCGAGGAGACTGGCTGAGGTGAGAACACCGTGGAGACAGTCGGAGGGGCAGCCGGCGCGGTGACAGAGGGCGCGATGGCCGCGGTTGACGCCGCGAAGCCTGCCAGCGCGACGTCCTCCGCCACCAGCGGCGCAGTGGCCGAGGGCGCGACAGCCGCGGTTGACGGGGCGGCGGTGGTGTGGGCCACAAGCGCCTGCCCGGGCGAAGTAGCAGCCGGCGGGAGCACGAAGAGGGAGCCGACGCTCCGTGTCCCGATCGGCGCCTGAAGGGAGGCGGCATCCAGTGGCCTCGAGAGAAGTGCCGCGAGGGAGGCCGGCAGAAAACCGGTGGCGGTGGAGCCGGACGCAGCGGCGGACGTCATAGCAGTCGGGCGACGGCGGCGGCGGGCGCGGCGGCGGCGGCTGTGGCGGCGGCGGTGGCGGCGGCGGTTTAGGGTTTTTAGGCGGAAGCGGACGTAACCTAGCGTGATACCATGTAAGACAATAGGCTTTGGGGGGAACCAGCACAACCCTTTAAGGGTGGCCTATCACATATATATATAATGAGGTGGTATACAACATTACAATATACACATGTAAATACAGTCTAACAACATGACACTTTTCCCATAAAAGAACTAACAGGGACAAAGTTGCCACATTCTAACATCTAAAGTTGCCACCTCGCGTTAACTAAAGTTGCCATAAAAAACATTCACGATGGCATGCTTAAAATCAGAATGTTCGGGATTTTATTGAATATGCCATCAGTAAGGGAGGTTGAAACGGTGACCATAGGACAAAATGAAAGCCAACCCCAGACTTGAAAAACCTGCAGATGGGAACGCATGCGCCATTTTCCCTGTAAGCAAATGATTATGATGCTGCCGAAACTGCACCACTTTTCCTCAACAAAACGCAGCGTGGCGCCGCTTGATGCTCTGTAAGGCTGTGTAACAGCCTGCGGGCAGCAGGCAGGCCGATGGGAGCTGCCGGCCGGCCGGCCTGTCCCGGCGCCGTTGAAGTCGCTGCGTATGATCAGTCTGCTCTGTGCTCGATCACGGGTGTGCCTGACGGCCAGCCATCAGTGGCTTTCAGGCGGCGCCCACAGCGTACACCGACGAGAGAGATGCCCTCCGGCGGGCCGTGCCTTTGACCGACTGTTGGACGGGAGCGGGGGGCTCCGACGGCGGCCTTCCTTCTCTAATCTCCGGCTGAGCGCCGGTGAGGTCCTGCCCTCTGCCACAAGAGCGTCAAGAACCTGCCTGTACCTCGGCCATTTGATATTCTGCTGCTTCTGTTACTGTAACTGTGTTCAGTTCTGCCACACCATGGGATGGGAGCGTGGATGTGACCAAGCTCTTCTTTACGGACATTGTTGGCTACAGCGACGGCCTCTTCTTTTCCTCGCCGCATCACTGGCCTGCTTGCAGCAGGCTTGACATATGTATGTGCCAAAGTAGTCTGATACAAGGAAGCTCCATGACCGATCACTGTGTATCCCACTAGCTCCTGCTCTCTGCGACGCAACCAGCATGTGCTAAACTCCAGCGCCATCCTCATAATAGGTTGAGCATATAATAGTCACAATGTACAACAAAGTTTCAAGTTAGAAGGCATCATCTATCACTGTTTTGCTGGTGGTAGGACCTCCCACCTCGGCTCCTTCCTCGCAACAAGATTTTCACCTAGTGGAGCATCTCACTGGTGTCAAAATCGCTCTTATATTATGGGACGGAAGGGGTATAAGACATTTTAGAGATTTCAGTACAGATGTATATTTAGGAACAGAGGGAGTGGTTTATAAAATCTTCCAATATCATAGTGACCATCTTCTGTAACTCATTTTCGGATGAGATTTTAGTTGTTTACAAACTGGCGACCACGGCACACGCTATCTTTCCCGTCATTTCCAAGAATGATGGAGAACATATAATCAAGTCGACAAAACATACCAACCGTTTGGATTGACAAACGGCCTTACCTTGTCAGCATTCATATGTATTATCAGTCAACTGAGGAAAGATAAAATGTTGCTAACTGGAAGTTCGACAGAAAAGAGGTGGAGTCTACACTACATACAAAATTTGAAAGGGATATGTCCCACTAGAACTGAAAGAAAAAAGGGGGTAAACTTGTCTTTGTTTGGCTTCCAAAGTTTTCTAGTATATATCTTTTGTCTACGATCTGTAGAACCCTAGGAAGCAGCTCCCTGCATGTACATCACTTTCCCAGTATGGAGAAGAGGAGTTATAAAAACAACTTGCCCTCTTGCATCTTTGCAGAATACCTGTAAAAACAAATAGATAGAAAAACAAGGACGTGAGGAATCAAAGTCAGGACAACAAATCTATACCACTGAAGAGCAGGAGAGAACACTCACGGTTTCACATTTGTTCAGGAAGCACCCTTTTGCAAAGGTGAAAAGCTCTGTTGTTTAATGATTTCCTGGCTGGACGATCCTGTTTCATGTACAAACTTGACAGATTCTGACAGCCTATTCAGAAGATTTACCAGTGCAATGACCTCATTTCGCTGCAGCTGGAACTGAATGATTACCATGAAACATTATTAGACAAATTGACATCTAAATGAACTCAAAAGGTAAAACCTGTTATTCCATAGGAAATGTAGAAAACAATACAGCAAAGCATCATGAACTGTGAGCTAGTGTCGTATAAAGACGGTACGACGAAGACTACTCTCACCAATCATACATCATATACCTTATACTATTAAGTTATACATTGCAAAGCGGTTGCGAATAAACTGCAAATGAACAGCATACCTGTTGATTCAAATTGTTCTCTCCATCAACAGAAAAAAGAATCTTCAGCGCTGTTCCAAGCCCAAGAACTTGAAGCTTTCCCCATAATCGACACTTCTCACAACCAACACAGTCCATAATTGCACTGTAAACAAAATGTTGCAGTGGGTACGGTTTCATGTTAGTGAAACGCATAATATAAATTAAAGCAGAGAGATTAAGGCACATACCTGATATTTCTAAACTGCTTCTGGATCTCCTGCTTTAACTCAGGGCCATTTTCACCTTGCCAGAGTTTTGCTTCATCAAAAGGTAATGGGCATGCAGATCTTAACTTGTGGTTGTAAAGCAATTGCCTCACTAAAGATTGTGTTTTCAAATCCTCTTCAGGATTGCCAGTGTTGTACTCTGCCTGCTCAAGGTAATCTGCCGCCTAAAAGATAGCAAACAAATTGTCACTCACGACAAGCTTTAGGCCAAAGCAACTCGACAGATTAATCTTTAAAATCAAAGATTAAGTTTTAATCAAGGAAGAAATGGGAACCTTAGTCACTGCCCGAAGAACAAATAGGTATGTGAAGTACAGATTTTCGACACGCTCTGGGTACTTCAGAACACGGTCATGCAACAACGAAAGGTTATGTCCCCACTGTAATCATATACACCAAACTTGTCAAATCAAGTACAAAAATCGTTTAATAAGCACCAAACTAAGTGTAGAGTAGTAGATAGATACCAAGTTAGCGGATTCATCAAGAAGATAATCATAAGCAATATGTACAGATATTGAGGAGTGCAATCCTGAAATTAGCTTGTAAAGTGCCTTCTTCTCCTGGCACATATCTTCTGAAGGATCTGCGAAAATAAATGAAGTTTGACTAATGCTTGTCCAGACTATTGTAGTGATATAAGCAACGCTAGACACTACACCATTCAACTTGGCTAGGACAGGCAACTGTACCATTAGGGATGCAAGCGGGCGTCCCACATATCCGCAAATCAGTTCACTTCTGGCCAGATGATTAGCACTAAACTAGAGACGAATTTGTACTATCATGTACTCCCTCTGTAAAGAAATATAAGAGCGCTCAAACCCGCTCTTATATTTCTTTACGGAGGGAGTAGCGCTCAAACCCGCCTGCTTTGCATCCCTATGTACCATTACCATAGAAGAGAAATAAATAAGCAACACACACTGCTCATAAGCGGTTGTTTAGAGCACTGCCAGCAGACTGAAACTTGAAGGTACTTCAACAACAACAAAGCCTTTAGTCCCAAACAAGTTGGGGTAGGCTAGAGGTGAAACCCATAAGATCGCGCGACCAACTCATGGCTCTGGCACATGGATAGCGAGCTTCCACGCACCCCTGTCCAAACTTGAAGGTACTTCCTTTTGTTATATACTCCCTCCGTCCGAAAATACTTGTCGGAGACATGGATGTATCTAGATGTATTTTAGTTCTAGATACATCTGTTTTTATTCATTTCTGCGACAAGTAATTTCGGACAGAGGGAGTATAAGTATACCACAGAAGGAACCATACAATCTTAATCTTAGAGCACAACCACACAAGTAAACTTAGTTTGAATTGTTGTGCATTCTCTAAGGGAAGGATCATGCAACTTACAGGCACATCAATGATTCATTTAATATGTTGTGGATTCAGCCATAATGTACTTACAAACAAAGGATTCTATAGGTCAACTGCCGTCAGAATGGACATGTGAGAAAAAACGGAGAACATATGCTTACATTTTGGGCAATTTTCTTTGTAGATAGCGTCCCATATCCTTCTAGCTGAATCACCAGTATAACCAGTATAACGTTCAGGATTAAGTTGAAGATTCACATAAGTCATCTCAGCTGGAACAGGGATAAATTTTTGTTAATCATCAGATTTTCAGGGACGCATAAAAAAGAATTAAAGGAAGAACGATGTACAAAAAGGAGGGTAAACAATGTACCATTATCCGTCTCATCATCTGATGTCCATGGATTATCGGTTTCAACCCACCCTTTGAAAACCTTGGTGTCGAGGGTTCTATCAACCGTGGCTTCTGGTTTTCCTTCTTGACAGATCATGTTTTCAGGAGAAAGGCCACTGTAAGGCTTCTTGAATGGTTCGGGAAATTCATTATCTGGGCACTCGCATACACTACAGTCCCTGAGCCGACACATGCCATCATCAGGCCAAAAAGGGCAGTCACACCACAACTTAACCTAAACAAGGAAATAAACAACCCAAGACTTAGAACAAATAAATGAATGGTTGTAATGTTGATTTTCAGGGATAGCATCTCTGTACAATCATACAGTAGCTAACAATTATAGTAACCACAAAACATGTAACATTGGCTATGTTATCCTTAGCAGCAGCAACATCAAATAACAAACATATATCAATGTCTTATCCTTAAAAAAAGAAAAACTGGTTTGATGCTCTATCAATTGGCTAAAAGGCCATCAACCTTATCCGAGCTAAGAATGATGTACAAAAGAAAGGGATAGGGAACCACAAGTCGCCCTAACAGACCCAACAGCTATCATCATATTATGCTCAGTCCTCCATATCAGGATGTATTCTTTATATTGCTAACGTCAAAATGCCCTAAAGGTTTGATCCTTGAGCTTAATGCTCTAATCAAGCAACCAGCACTCTTTTTCCACATCCAGCCCAATTGACAAGTAAAAAGTGGCACCGTATTAATGCAAGCCAGAACATTGTAGTAAATAAAGTGCAGCAACCTAGTGGAGAATTATACAGTTGTGACCAGTCTCCCACATATATATCCAATTCCGTTATACAAATAGCAGGGCAAAAAAATTGGCTCCATAGTTATGGAGCAAATGCTCCGATCAAATATACACTGCTACATAACTCTAACATGTGGAGCTGGCTATCACAGTTCTTAACATCGGAACATCACAATATGCACTTCCCATAAGCCAGGTCACACATAAAAAAAACCGTTAAAAAACAGAAGAGCAAAATTTGCTTACCTTGAAGTACCTGAAGAAGGGCAGAGCGACGAGGTCCTGTAGGATCGGGTTGAGCACCTCCTCGTTGATGGCGTCCACCGTCTCGTAGTCGCAGCAGCAGTCCTCCACCATCCCCGTGTACTTCCTGGCACCCTGACGAAACACGCAGCACCGGCCGCCCCAAAACCACGTCGTCAGATCAAAACCTCCCGGAGCAGAAGGCCAAATCACGAGACCAGGGGCGGGGGGAGCCTTACGGGGCAGCCGCAGCCTCCGCCGCGCGAGAGGGACGAAATGGAGGGGAAGCTGCGGGAGCTCACGGCCACGGCGAGGAGCGCCACGAGGAGGGCCGCCGCCGCCGCCCACCATCGCCTCCGCCTCTGGCGCACGGCCCCGCCGTTCGCCGCGGGAGGGGGCCCCTCTGACATCCCGCGCCGGGTGGGTGGAAGCTTCTAGAAGGAAGCGAGATCTGACCGAACAACGGCGGCGGAGGAGGAATTTTCTCGCCGTGTTCGCAGTTGGGGCGTTGGCGGTTGGGGAAAATCGCGTAGGCGGCTGCTACTACTAATACAGAGGCTGCGGTGGAAGAATCCGCGTGCGTGCCTCGGTTTACCCTCTGATTGTCGGAACCGGCGATGCTGCGCACGGAATGATGGATCGGACGGCGTGTGTAGGGCCTGGGCGCAGCTGGACGGCTGGATTTGCCCCGATGACGTGTCTGTGCACCTGTGGGCCGCGTTTGCCCAACAGCTCATTGACCAGCTCGCACGACACGTTAACTAAACTTCGCACAGTGCCGACGTCAAAATGAGAAAA